AATGAAAAGTCACTTTTAAAGATGTCCGAAGAACAGAATTTGAAAGAATAACACGAAATCTCACCTATTAGTGTAAGCTGTGGGAACACTTTGCAAAGCAATTTGGCAGCATTTAGAAAAAACTGATGTGTATACATAGAAATCTACAAATTCTAATCTAGGTGCATACCATAGAAAAAGTCTCCTATATCTGTGCAAGGAGACTTAACCAAAAATGTTTATTGCAGCAATGCTTAAATTGGAAAAATGTAGAAAACAACCTAAATGACTGTCAGTAGAATTATTTTTTAGAGTGTGATAATTATTCAATTTAGTTTGAGTGAATAAATTAAGGCTATATCTACTAATATACTGTGGAAAATTGTTGAACGGAAATATAGTGTGATATGTATCTAATAATATGCTGGATACTACCACATATTATTTATTAACACATATAAATATGCATGTTGTAAAATTATTAAATATGCCAAGAGGTAATGCATACTAAAGTATCTCTTAAAAGGAGAAAATAAGTATTAACAATAATATAGAAAGGGTTTCAAATATATCCTCAATGTTTTAAAAAGAAAAAGGACTTTGCCCGGCTGGTGTGGCTCAGCTGGTTGAGCATCTTCCCATGCACCAGGAGATCACAGGTTTGATTCCCAGTTAGGGCACAAGTCTGGGTTTGGGGCTCTATACCCAGTAGGGGGCATGCAGGAGTCAGCCAAGGATGTTTCACTCTCATACTGGATATTTCTATCTCTCTCCTCCTGTCCCTTCCTCTTTCTGGAGTCAATAAAAACATATTTTTAAATAAAAAAGAAAAGGGACTTTAATAAGGTAAAATGTTAATATTGACAAATCTGTGATGTTGATTGAATTTTCCTAAATCATTCTCTATTGTCTCTTGTTAGCTTGGAAATCTTTATCATTAAGGATTTTTAAAATATGGAGAAACTGCATTGTGTGTGTTTGTAAAGAGCCTTAATGGACTGTGTTAGATGTGCATGTGTTAAAAAGGAGGCGTGGAGGACACTACCTTATAGAGAGGACCTACACACAGTCAGAGCTCCATTCTCCACGCCAACAGATGCTGAGAAATAAGTATTTAAATTTAGATAATAGAAAAAATGCATCTGACTTTTGCAAACAGAGTTACACATTATCCTACTTATCTGTAAAAAAATAAAAATAAAAACAGTCTGCTAAATTGGTCTTGAGTGGTTGCTGTCATTCTTTATGATTATTTTGGACAGCTGCCACATTGTTATTTCCATGGTGAGCTGACCATCTGGAATTGAATAGACCAGTTTATCTGTGCTAAAAGTAGATTTACCTCCAAACTTACCACAGACATGCAACCTCAGACCCACGCCGCTAACCTGACTCTGTGTACTTGACCTTTACCTGCTCCTGACACATCTATTCAATGCCACTAACATTGCCCGCAATAACAATAATGATAATAATAATAAATATAATAATAAAAATCCAGAAAAGCAAACAGAATTCAGCGTATTTCCTACTAGATGTCAAATAAGGAAAATAGCTAAAACCCATGAGTAAAGTGAAGTTGGAGATTTTAAACCTGCGGGTCTTTTGTCTCTTCATTCTTCAGAGGAAAGGTATCAATAGTGATGGCTTAGGCTGGGATAGCATTTAGCTATTGGAAGCTTTTACATATACTGTTTCAACAGACCTTCCTGGAGGATGAAACTGAGTCTGGAAGGGGAACTAGAGCTGGAGAGTGCCTGGTCTCCTGAGTCCTGTCCAGCAAGATCACTACTGTGCGAGTTGAGTAAAACTTACTCGTTAACAACATCTCAAGTTCATGTAAAGAATAATTCCTAGCATAGAAATTGATGTATGGGTAAACTGCTATAAAGAAAAGAACACATTTGCCCAGCCAGTGTGGCTCAGTGGTTGAACATCAACCCATGCACCAAGAGGTCACCAGTTCAATACCCGGTCAGGGCACATGTCCAGGTTGTGGGCCAAATCCCCAGTGCGGGGCATGTGGGAGGAGGCCAATCAATGTTCTCTCTCATTGATGTTCCCATCTCTCTCTCTAAAATCAATAAAGAAAAAAAGAAAAGAGAAGAACACATTAAAACAAACACCCAAAGAGCATACTTAAAAAAAAGAGAGAGTATTTAGAAATGGGAACAGATGGGAAAATCTATGCACAATCCATGAGTTAATAACAAGCAGTGACTCTTTATTAAAACAAACAAACAAACAAAAAACTTTGTACTTTCAGAATATATTGAAGAGGAATCTTTCTAAATAAACTTCTGGGGTCTCTTTAAATCCACAGTTTCTGCCGAAAGATTCGAGCACAAACCCGGGACTTCTATTTGACAAGCCCCATATGCTCCGTCTTCTCTCCAGGTTTTCACTCTGGCTCGTGGAATCAGTGGCTGGTTAAACATGTGGTTTTACAGTTGCTGAAAATACTCTGAAGTCAAAGTCCTTCTCCCAGTGTTTATGTAGTTGGCCACTCCGGTATTGGATTTTGCAAGGCTTGGCCTGTAACCTTTAGTAAATAAACCACTCCTTTCATAAAAAACAGAGTCTGCATGCACAAATCATCTACACTTCAACAGGAAGAGGAAGTCAGAGACTAAAGAAATGGCATTGTGAAGGAGATGTTATATTCTGTCAACCAGTTCAATCCACAGTTAATGAAGGTGGCATTGGCATTGCTGAGAGTCATTCTGTGAATTTTGGTGCCCAACACAGCTGATCCTCCCTAAGGAACCACAGAACTGTTCACTTGCTGCAGGAGTGATTCCAAGTCACCAGTGAGCCCCCCACCCAGCCCTTGGGAGACGCAGCAATGCTGGCCGAGCTAGGCATGCCTCACTGCCTGCCCAGGGCATTTCTGCATTATTCCTACCATCACACATCCAGCAACGGGACCGCCTAATAGCCTTTGCACAGACCAGTGCAAATGAAAACGCAGGTCCTGTTCAAAATGCAGAGGCAAAGGCGTTAGAAGTACTAAAGCATAAAGCTTTTTCCTTTCTTCTGTGGTCTCCCACTCCACCTGCCAGGGTGTTTTTTATTTGCCAAATAAAGTCACACTCGCTTCTGGAACCTACGGCTCCACTATGCAACTCTGCGCATGCACAGTTCTCAGGCTGCTGCGTTCCCCTCCAGACAATCACTGAACAGATGCCCCCCTGAAAATTGAAGCAGGGACCCCTGCTTTCTGTGGAGGTAAACAGGCGACTCCCGAGAGTATTGCAACAATAGTCAGGGGACCTGCGAGGTACCAGCATTGAGGATGGGAAAGAAGCTGGCCTGTCCCTGTTCTATTGCCTGCCAAAGGCACAGCGGCCCTGCCGGTCAAGGGAGGAGAGGGCTCTAGCCATTCGCTGCCTCTAGATGCTACAAGACACATGCCCCGGACCCTGATCTTTCCCAGCTGGTGCCCAGAGACCCCTGCCAGCAGGGAGGGTGGCAGTGATCCAGGCACAAGACGGTCGTGGGAGACTAGGCTGACTGAAGCCACGGGGAGCAGGAGAACCAGAAAGCGAAAATCTGTTGAGGGAATTTAGGGCGGCAGGACTGAACTGAGGCTCCAAGTCCCAAGTGCAGGCTCCACTTTCCTCTCCAACACCATTTACAAAACACAGATGAGGAGATAGAAATACTGCACATTTCAGAAGGGCGACTATGGAAAGCGAACCCCCAGCACAGGGCTCTTCTGATGAGGGATCCAGGGTCTACATTAGTCGCAGGGCCGGGAAGCCAGCCCTGCCAGGGTCCTGGCTCCCAGACCACTGGACAATCAACATATGAATGTCATCTAACGGTAAAATGAGAAGATTCAATGTGATGCAGGCAGTTTAGCAAAGACAAGCCAAATGCCTTGAGTATATTTTCTGCCTCTTTTATGAAAAATTGAGCTGTTTTAACATTGTTTTAGAGGTTAAATGCTCTTTCTTATTGATAACTATTTTCACATACTCAAACATCATATTTTAATATTGGTCCTCTACTTGCTATTGTTTTTATGATCTTTGCAATTTCAGGTGGAGATATTAAAGTTCAGAAACAGATTATTTTTATAAATCCAATAGCAATCATTATCTCTTTGTCTACTTATCTTACATGCGTGGATTCCTGCAGGAATAATGAACTTATACCAAAGTAGCTCAAGTTCTTGTCTCTAAATGGGAATTTGAAATTGTTCTGCATAGATCACACACTTTCAGATGGTTTATTGAATAGCCCAAACTGGAAATACACATATTGATGAATTTTATTATTTTCCTCTTTTAACTTCCGCTGTGTTCTGGAAAATATTTTTTCCTCCACCTGCTACATTCAGATCATTTTTCTTGTTTTAAGGTATTAAAAAGCTATTCCAGTGCGCTCTTGTTTCAAATTTCAAATCGGCGTCTCTTCTGGCTTGCATGCCAGGCCATGCCAGATCGCCCTGCGTGCTGCCTAAGGAGACTTCCAACCAAGGAGTGAGGTGACATCCTCCCCTGTGACAGATGCCTTCCATCTCTTGCCACTCCCCTCCTCTCTACCATTAGACACATTTCGTCTTACGAAGGCCAGGAGATAAATGTGACTTTATATCAAGTGACAGCAATGCTTCTAAGATAACATGTTATGGAGGAAAAATAGCAGCTGCAGTTGTAAGATATAAACCATGAGCCACCACTGGGACTGAAGGAAGGGGTTGAAACGGGAGGGGAAAAGCTAACGTGCACAGACACAAGCACAGCAGAATAATGTCTGCCACTTGGAGAGTCCTAGTCCCACCAGGTAAAGGAAGAATGCACTCCACTGACGTGGCTTCAGAAGTGGGCCAGGCCACGAGAAACAGCGTGTGAGGAAGCTGCAGGGCGTGGAGGTGGAGACCACGTGGAGAGAGGCTGCGGAGCCAGGTCAGGCCCTGTCGCAGGCCCAGGCACCGCCTGAGTGGTGTCATCACCTTATCTGTACACATGCATAACCACTCGCTCACTGGGTGTCTTTTTCTTTTCAATCTTCAGGAAGAGGCAGCCAGAATTCTCGCCCACCAGCCAGTGTCCGTCGGCACATGTGCAGCTTTGAAAACCCCCACACTGCAGTGAATGTGTAAGAGAAGCTGCATGGAAAATAGAGTGGTTTGCCCTTGCTTTCTCTCTCCTGGGTTTTTCCACTTTCTAACATGGAAACAGATGTGGTGCATGCCATCCAGAAGGAGGAACCATTGACGTGCCATGGTTTGCACGACTGCCTTAATTTGATTGCTCATCATTCTTAAAAGGACACTGTCAAGCCATTAGTCTTTTCGCTTTTGCTGTGTTTCCATGCAAGATGCAACACTTTTTCCAATTCTGGAGATTCACTTTTGTTTGTGACTCCCACTCACAAGCTCGAAAGTGAATTTCCCCCCTTCACAAAGTTGTCAGCTTCTCCTTGGCAAACAGAGCTTTTTCTTTTTCTTTTCTTTTTCTGTCTTTTCGCTGTTGCACAAATGTTTGAGATGATGCTGTCTGCATTCTAGTAAAGCCACACTTAAACGTTTGGAAATGTTCTACAATGTCAGTTTCAGGAATGGGTGCCCACAGGAGCCTCTGTTGGGTGCCTCCCATGCCCCGGGGACCACAAGACAAAAGTTTTGTGAGCCCCCCCCCCGCAAAAAAAAAATGAGTTTTAGAAAAAAGCAAAGTAGTTGTTTTCCTAGGATTCTGAATGCTTTTATCAGATTTTCCCTATCTGATAAAAACGATGCATGTTTGGTCCAATTTTTGACCTTTAGATCTTGACAGTGTCTTTTTAAGTGAACAAAATAACATAGACCATGTTCAATTCATTGTGCACGAAGTCTGTGGTCATTTTCAGCTGTTCCTTTACAGCCCTTCAAACTCCTGGGAGAGTCAAAGGTACACATTCCTGCAGCAGGAGGGAGCCCGTTGATGAGGTGTCTGACTTGAATTGCTCTTCTGCAGTGAAGGGCCTAATTTGCTCAAATGTTTGCTACTGAATTGGCCTTGGAGGCTCGTGAATGGGGCCCTAGTGTCTCTTCTCTTTACTCAGTGGAGTGCATTGGGAAGTCTGTGTTCTGCTAGTCCCTTAAAAAGCCCAAAGAAAGAGTGTGGTCTCAACCACATTATGCTGATTCTTAGAGGGAAAAGTGCAGTAGTCATGTCAGTATGTTTCAGGTGGCAGTTTGGAGGCTCCTGCATTCATAGATCGAAGCCACTCTAGTCAGCTTGGATGCATTCTCTGTTAATTCTCCCAAATCAAAAGCACTGAGTGTTTCTTGTACCAGGCGTTGAGTCTGACCAAGGACACAGCAAGGACATCTGCTGGCTGCCTGTCAAAAGGGATTGATGGGAAGAGTAAATGTGCTCGTCCTATCATGACAGCAGGGCCAGAGAGGAGAGTCACCTAGCATTTCATGACATAAAGGTGAGTGCCTAAAAGCAAAGGCTGAAAGTGGTTACATCGTGTAGGCAACTAAAAAGAAGGCAACAATCAGCAAAGCTAACATGTTGGTTGTTAAGAACTTTCAAATCAGGACCTATTCAAGCTTTCTTTCTGGAGGCTCTACAGGATAGGGAAGGTATTGATAGCTTCGGAGCTGGCACCATAGGCTAAGGCTGGCTATTTTTAGCCTTGGTGGTTCCTGCAAAGAAAAATGAAGGAAAAGGAAAACATGCTCTCTCTGTGACCTTTAGTTCCCATAGCTTTTGTAAACAAGGAAGGAAAAGGGACTGGTGGGGGGAATAAAGCTGCCTACTGGACCATTATGGTCTGCCCTAGATCTGTCCTGCTAATCTCAGCAGAGCATTGTACCTGCCCTAAATTTCCAGGGCAAACTATGAGGCTCCAAGTAGAGCTGAGGAAAATCAAATGACTTGCTCTTTCAATAGTAGATTTGGTAGCATGGACCATAGCAGCAATGATAATGCTTGACCTGACGTTTCTGCAAAGGAAGCATAATCTAGGCTCATTGTACTTCCTGCAGGTATATAACTCCACCTGGCACTTTCCCGCTAAAACAGTGCTCCCGTACCAACACATTTTAAATAAACTTTGGCACGAGACTCTCTTTAATCATCCAGTAGTCATGACTATGCTGAACCAAAGGGTGTTTAAAATGGGCTTAGGAATAGTTTAGTAACCATCAGAATTCTGCTCTTTAGTTTAAAATTGATTTGTCAGTTTTATTAAGACAGTAGATGCTAGGCCCAAAGTTTATGGGGCCTTTTCCACATTATAGACTTTGATGAGGTAATTTCACTTATGGGTGTCTTTTTCTTTATTGATTCATTGAAGAAAGTACAGGCTTAATGAAGGCAAAGTTATTTCCTTTGTGTTGCCTTTTATTGTATATTATACAACTTTAGGATACAGAGTGTGATTAATCTAAAGATTCTTAAAGGAGGACTGTACATGGAGACTTTGCAATATGGCAAATTTCAGCTAACCAAATAGTTCTCTGGCCAGCTTACAATGAGCTTAGAATCAAAGAGTAGAGGGATAAAATTCACAATGCTGCTTAAGATTTAATATCCGCAGAAACTCCAAGTTCTCATGTAATCAGAAAACATTTGCCTGCAATAACACACTCAGAGATTCTGTACCTTACAACGAGTGGTGAGTCAAAGGTGAGAAATTGTAATTACTCTCAGAGAACACACACTGATTATGCAGGGTTTTGTGGAAATCTTTCAAGATGTGGGACCGGAATCCATGGGAGTTGTTTGTGTTGAAGACGAACTCGAGGTTGCCTGGGCAAACAGGTGTCTGACTCAAGTGGATTTCAGATCATTCGTGTGGCGGAGATTCTACAGGCATTGCCACGCGAACTGCATATTGGGACCAGCTGGCTGAAGCAGGTGGAGGTGAGATCTTTGCAGCGTCTCTGTGGACATGGCACCACTCCCTCCTCGAGAGGCCTTGGATCCCAGCCAAAGCTGCAAGGCCTCAGCAGAACCGCCCTCACACGTGTGGCTTTGGTTTGTTTTCTTAAGCTGGTAACCCATTCTCCCGACCCTGTAACTCAATGGCCTTTCCTACATCCATTTTCATTTCCAGAGGAAACAGATGCTAATCTCCTTGGGTTCTGGGGAGTGTCTTCCCTCCTTAGGTGAAGGTCTTTCCTTGTCTGTGGGCTCTCTGGATGCCATCCTATGTCTCTTGGGACGTTATTGAGCCTTGTGGCAAAGACTTGCATTGGCCTTAAGGGAGACAGGCGTGGTGTGAGCTTCCCCGGCAGACAGGCAGCTTGTTCTGGACGCTTTCCTCCTGCTCTCAAACGCCCACCCACTGTGATTCCCATTTTAGACCTTTCTGGAGCAGAGAGCAGTGTCCTTGGCAGGTATAACGAGTACTTACTGAAACAAATGAAGCAGTATCACTCCGAACGCCAAAGATACTCTAATCTGTGTACACCACCCACTTCCAACTATTCTCTACAGTGCTGTAAATATTGTGTTTTCTATTTGGGGCGATTGTGATACTTATCTAGTGATTATCAAAGCAGGGCCCCAAGCCTACTGTAGCTGAAACTGTAGCCCGAGGCCTGCCGAGCTCTTCACTCTGTAGGTGTATGTGACCCCCGCCCACCTCTCAGGCCTACCGGGGATCACCTCTGATAACTGTCACCCCAATAAAAACATCTAGCCACCCGAAGTAGTTACACCAAATGCCACTGCATTTAATCTTCAAATGTGGGATTGGTTTTGGCGTATTTTGAAGTTAGAGCAAGAAGGATGGGGTCCTTTGCATCAATTATGTGGTGTTTCTACACCAGGGAGCTTTTCCTAAGATTAGGAAACAGAATCAAATCAAATAATAGAACAAAGGAGTTGGTGGCTGAAACACAAGGTATTGAAGTTATCTGGAAATAGTAAAGGTCTTATTTCATAGTAATATTTTATTTTTATAGTGTCTTTATTCCTTTTCATTGTCCCGTATTTTACACATTTTTTCTCTTCTTGGTGTCACAGCAGTGGGTTCCAGACCTTCTCAAATAAGATAATTACTTTACCCACCAAAATGTTTATTATACCTCCACTCAAATCTATGCTATTAAGTGTACCTTTATTAGTGGCCACTTGGACACAAAATACAAAATAAGTTTCTCAGAATTCAGTTGCACTTGTATCTAGCAGTACATTTTATCACAGCAGCATTTGTATGCATTTAAAAATAGCACCGCCTAATCTACAAAGACAGACTTTCGATTCAGTCTGAACACGATGTTCAATGCACACGTAAATGTCTAACCTCTCTGTGGCCAGCAGGTTTGAAATAACTATTCCGGGGACCAAAGTTTGTACTCTGGGCTGAACTTTCTACAAGATACATTTTCTCCATTGTCTCTGGATTTTAGAAAGCAATTTAGTTTGTCCCTAAAAAAAAAAAATTTGGTCTAATTTGCTTAATCTAGGGCCTTAGAGTTGCTTCCTAATTAAAGAGTATAGCGCATAAAGAGCAAAACTCTTTTTTCAAACAAAAGCCATCCACCTAACTCTGAGGGGAAGGAAAGCTGCTATTTTTGACTGAAAGGGGGAAATCGCCTACCAGAAGAATAAAAATTATATTGAATTAAAACAGAGCTAAATTGTGATTATAACTGTCTGAAAAGATGATTGATAATACCTTTAACATATGGGAGTGCGCAATTTTAAAGAGAGGCCCACACAGAATTCCTGAGCAATGAGGAAAACAACCTAGGTGAGCGAGTCCAGTAAGTCCCAGACATACAAAGATGCCTTTTTGCTGGTATAGGTGGAGCCTGAGGCAATGTTTTTTGGGGTTTGTGAGCCTGCTGGGTGAAGTAGGGGCAGACCTGTTCTCAAGGGACTTGTTTGTATTTATTTATTTTCTTCAAGGCCTTTATTTTTATTTTTGCAAGTTTATTATTATTATTTTTGTTCCCATCCTTCTGCCACCCTCCCCTTTGGTAACTATCAGCTTGTTCTCCATACCTATGTGCCTATTTCTATTTTGTTTGTTCATTTGTTTGTTTTAGATTCCACATATCAATGAAATCATCCGATACATGTCTCTTTCTGTCTAACTTATTTCTTCTAACATAATACCCTCTAGGTTCATCCATATTGTCACAAATGGCAAGATTTCATACTTTTAAATTGCTGAATGATAGTCCATTGTGTATATACTACATCTTCTTTTATCGTCTACTGACAGATATCTAAGTTGCTCTCGTATCTTGGTTGTTACCAGTAGTGCTGCAGTGAACATGGGGGTGCACATATCTTTTCAAGTTAGTGTTTTTGTTTTCAACGGACTTGTTTTATAAAGCACACACATAAAGAACTAAAGGAAGACACTGGGCATCTTCTCAGTTTAAGGATTTTCTGCATCTGGAGAAGGAAATAGTGTTTCCATTGCGGTTGAAAGGGGATGCGAATCATTGAGTTGGCTGAAACACCAACCACTTCACATTGAAGCAAGGCAAGAGGCAAATGCAAAGTTTTACACTTTCTGGAAGAGGCCTATTGATCGTATAAAGAACAGTGTCAGTGGAGTGTGGGGAGTGGCAGAGATTGAGAAAGATGAAAATGGGAGGTGAATGTACCTCTCATTTCAAGTTCAGAGGGGGAACCGTGAATTCTGGCCTTGCCTTTGGCTAGCTGGGTGGCTGCCTATTCTTGCCAGAAAAACCACCATCCTGTTCTTCAGTTTCCTCAACTCAGAGGAGAATCAGCTACTCTTACAAGACAGTGTGGAAACTAATGAATCAGTATTTTACACTTAGAAGCATTTATACATTCCCTGGAAATATATTAAGCACATATTTAAGAGGAATATTAATTTTGACATCATAGCTTGGAGATGAGATTTTTCTCAGACAATTAAAAAATACAGCACAGATAATCATATGTACGGGAGAACTATTCTTTCCCCAAATAATGAGATCAACATTTTAGCTATTATATCTATTTTAGAACCTTTATATCCAGAATTTCTATGGTAGATATCAGGATTCTTACAAGAATCTGTGCTTATTTGACTCACTTCACTTTTCAAATTATAAAATATAAGATGTCAAAATATTATGCTCTTCATAAATGTGACATATACTTTTGAAGTATTATTCATGCCTATATTTTCAAAATGATTAAATAATCCATTATATTAATTATTGATCATTTCCCACTTTTTTCAAGCAAAAGATTATAATACAGAATAATGTATTTTACACATCTACCTAAAACCTGTTCATTTTACCTATTCCTTTTAATATCTTGAATATGTTATTATTGTGCTACTGTCTTGTTTTTATGGATACAGCAAAAACAAACAAAAAAACTTCTAAAAAAAGGAGAAAATATCTCCTGATTTAAGTATTAACACTGTTGTTATTAATAGTTTGCTATGGTAAGGTACCACCATCTGTAGAATGTTATACAGAAAATAGGCTAAGAGTCCAAAAGTAAGACCAAAATTATTACAAGATAAGAATAGAATTGGTACTAGACACATACGGTATATCTTTTTCTCTTCTCCTCCTTCTCCACCTTCTCCTCCTCCTCCTCCTCCTCCTCCTTCTCTTCTACTTATTTGGCTTTACGAGGGTCCCATGAAGGTGGAAGTCAGTAAGGCTGGGGGGCTGTTGTTGCCTTAGGATATTCCTTCACCAAGGTTCAAAGGGGAAAAGCCAGGGGAGGGTCTTTGTCTCAGTAAGTTCTGCTTTGTCTAAATATTAACTTGGTCTCATACGTATCAAACTATGCCAGAGGACTAAAGCAGGATCGGGGCATGTAAAGTTTGCTGGGCTTACTAGTTCTAGCTCGTTTCCAACACACCTGGTTATAAGTCCCCAGTGTGAAAATCCCGAACCAGCTGCTGTGAATCAGGGCCTTTATGTGAGTTGTGACCCATTAGATGTGTCAGGAGCAGTGCTTGGAAATAGAAAGAAAATCAAAAGTTACAAACTACTTAAATAGAGCATGGGTCTGGGTTTTTCTGTCACCTGCTCTTTTTCTCTTCCGTACAGGTGCCTTGTGTGTGAGCATGCTGCTCTGGCAACAGGAAATACCTGCATGTCAGAACGGGCAGCTGAGAGAATGGATGTATAACCTCGCAGGACAGTCACAGTAGCTCTGGCTGAGGGTTTGAAATTTGATGCAGGGTCTAAGAAGAAAGGGAAGCAAGTGCTATGGTCACTATGTTCTGTTATTCATGTGTAACTAAGATTTAATTTTTTTCATTTATTTTCTTCATTAATTTCGGAATCTTTTAAAGAGTCTCATTGAGCAATAACTTTATCATTGCCATAGAATGTGTGTGTGTGTGTGTGTGTGTGTGTGTGTGTGTGTGTGAGAGAGAGAGAGAGAGAGAGAGAGAGAGAGAGAGAGAGATTGTGTAGTAATTTTGTGAAATCTTAAACCTACATGAAAAAGCTGCTTCTACAAGAGGCTGGCTTTTCTCCTGAATACCTTTTGTCAGGGTCAAAAGTCCCCACCTCCTCTTGGGGCGGGCGGAACCACTGGCTGCAGTTTCAGAGGCAACCTGTGGTCAATGCAATTTGTAGCATTTAATCTGTAATACGGAGAGGTTGGGGATGTGGAAGGCAGCGGAGAGGCAAGTCAAATTGCATTGAGCTGGGCTTGCGAAAATGATTTATATGTATTTTATCCCATGTGCATGATATATCTGCAAATAAATCCATCTCTATTTTATTCATAGTTCTAATGGCAAGTCTGTGTCATGGTCTGAACCAGGTGGAAGACAGGTGCCCAAGGGACAGCACATGTGGCACCGCCTCTCTGTGCACGTGAAGACCAATGAGACGGCCTGCAACCAAACAGCCGTCATCAAGCCCCTCACTAAAAGTTACCAAGGCTCTGGCAAGAGCCTGACCTTTTCAGATACCAGCACCAAGACCCTTTACAACGTGGAGGAGGATGCCCAGCCGGTTGGCTTCAGCCCTCCCAGCAGTCCTTCTATGGTGGTGCACAGACGCGCGCCAACGGCGGTGAGCACCCCACCTCTGCTGCCCCACCTGACTGCGGAGGACACCCCCCTGTTCCTGGCTGACCCCACCATCCCCAAGGGCTTGCCCCCTCCCCTCCAGCAGCCGCAGCCGCAGAAATCTTTGCTGGACCAACTACAGGGAGTGGTCAACAATTTCAGCACCGGGATCCCGGATTTCAACGCGGTGCTCGCAGTCCCCGGGGGTCCAGGAAACGGGGTGCGGTCCCTGTACCCGCCTCCGACGCCCCCCCAGCACCTGCAAATGCTCCCGCTGCAGCTGAGCACCCCGGGGGAGGAGCCTGCCTCCCCCGGGGCGGAGGATGAGGACGACAGCGAGAGGTTCAAGCTCCTCCAGGAGTATCTGTACGAGCGGGAGGGGAACACGGAGGAAGACGAACTGGAGGAGGAGGGGGAGGACCCGCTGGCGGCCAGCAAACCCACCCCGGAGGACTCGCCAGCCCTGACGCCTCCGTCGCCTTTCCGCGACTCCGTGGCGTCGGGCAGCTCGGTGCCCAGCTCCCCGGTGTCCGAGTCGGTGCTCTGCACCCCTCCCAACGTGACCTACGCCTCCGTCATTCTGAGGGACTACAAGCAAAGCTCTTCCACCCTGTAGGGGAGGAGGCGTCCGCATGGAAGAACAGAAGGCAGTGAGCCCGGCCTGCGGGACGTGCAGAAGGCAGGGGAGCCTGGGCGTGGACGGGGCGTCCGAAGGGGAGGGGAGGCTGGGCCGCCGAAAGTGGGGCCCAGCAAGGAATGACCCAGGCCAGGATTCTCATTCTTGAATTATTTAAAGCCTCCTCTGGGAAGAAAAGGAATTCTGACAAAGCACAATCCCGTGTAGTATGAACTTTTATCATAAAAATAAATCAGTAAAATAAAATCGACAAAAACAACCTCCCTTTTTTGCCCAAGTGCTGCCCAAATACACTGGGACGGTTTGCAAAGGGGCAGCACCTGAGGCCAGTGGAGGTGAATTAGGAGTACCCCTCATGATGGCCCTGGTGAGCCTGGCGGAGCCAGACGAGCAGGTGGGTGGCGGAGGGGCGGGCATGGAACCACCAGAGAGCCGAGGAGGGGACCACAGACTCCTGGCCTTCAGGAGACTCCAGACTGGCCCAGTTAGGGGGCTCTGTCCCCCACTGCACCGGACACAGTGCGGCCTGCTGTCACACTTAGAGAAAGGTGCACGGACTTCCTGCCGCTCTCTTTGGGAAAATAGAGAGCAAACATCACCAGAAAGTGCTTCATCAGTAGTGCTAGGGAAGAATGCAATAAGAAGCCAGACAATACATGACTTAAGCATGGAGCTTTGAACAAAATCAGCACAATCCGCTTCCCATATTTGATACTCGCTTATTGATGATTTAGGGAAAAGGCCAATTAAATTGTTTTAAGAGGGGCTGACGACCTTTTGTGGATTAACTGCATTAGTGCCAAAGGGGCTCTCCTTTGCCCTTCAGTTACAGAGAACAAACCGTGTGGCAAAATGTTACCTTCCATTTACTATAGCAAATAATACTTACCAGTTGAACTTCTAAGATGCAATGTGTGTATTTGGTGCCAGTGTTTCTCCCACTAACTACAGGAACAAATCCATCCTCCAATTTAACGGTGTATTCATAGCAACTACTACTGGCAAATTTAATGTTTAATGACAAATAAATATTTCCTTGTCACAGAAGTCCCTGTAACTAGCAAGTGGATGTGTTCTTGTGTCCTTGTATACATGTGACAACAAAGTTTGTGCAATGTAATGTCAATCTAGTGGCAACTAGGAGACTGTCTTTCCGATATAATATAGAAATTATGTTCCGATAATGTTTTATACAACATCGTCATCAATATCTACAGGAAGTCTCTGAGGGTTTGAGTGCTGTGATCCAATGTTTTTCATATGCTGCTCAGACGGTCCTTCCTTTTCTAAGAGGAAACTAGTTTTTCAGATAGTTTATGATCTGGAAATATGTTCTTAATGAAACAGTTTGAAAATTTGTTACATTGAAAGTTTACAAGACTGGGGGTAAAAATTAAAAGGTACGTTTTATAAACTTGCACACGTGTTATTAAAACATAAGATTGAAATGACAGTATTTAGATTATTTCAGGTTACTTTAGGGTGTTTTGTTTTTTAAGATTTTCCACAGCAACTTAAGCTTTATGTGCTTAAAGCATATAATAACTTGTAAGACTGATCACAATTTCTCACATTATTTATTCATTCCTTCTTACTTTCCTTTAACTTTTATTTCCATGTATTCGTATTCCTATATTTTCACAGTCATAACTTCTCTTCATGTTTTTGTTATCTGCTGTGTGTAATATCTATGTATGTGCAATCCGATTGTTTCATTTTTACCTTCCCCTTTTACCCCAAATAAAAAGCTTTGACTTGCTGCTTTGATTTCTATTATTTATTGAATGAATCTTTCCCCTTAAAAATCTTTTTTTATGCCTTATGTTCAGTTATATTTTAATACGCTTTCTTCATATTGAAGCTGCTGATTTCTCAGCCAAAATTCACCTCAGAATCTTAAATACACGCTGCATCATTCGTTGAGAAGTTAACATCAACTCCAGTGTCGAGGCTCATGTTTCTCCTGTATTCCCCACATTCTCTGGCCAGGCTTAGTGCGTCCCACATCAAGAAAGGACTGCCTTTCTTTTAAAATATTGTTTTATAACACATTTGATAGAAAGACCTCATGATTGAAACATGGATTTCAGTTCCACATTTTCATTGTAATGAAGCAGAATGAGAAAAATGCATGGTTCCTATGCTTATTAGGTGGTTTACTAATGGGCAATCTAGCAAGGGAACACGTACTATCTAATTTTAGTGAAACTTTAAAAAAAAATCTTGAAACCACTAGCCACAGCACTTGATATCACAGGACTTGTGCATTTAGATTTTTTTTTTTTTAAGTAAAAATAGACCAGGTTAACTGCTGCTGTTCAAATAATGTAAGATGTCAGTTTCTTCTGAGAGTTTTGAGACATTTGGTGAACATATTCAACACTGATCACATTATTATTCTGGATGCCTCCTAGTATCATAATAAAAATTTTCCTTAATCCAATAGAATATTAGGTCTTATATCATAATTGTTCAACATTGGAAATGGACACATACATACCCGATACCACAAGGGCGGAAGCTCTTCCCCTTAATGTATATGCTTATACAAGCTGTTTAGCTTCTTATAAACGTGATTTTGTTCAGCTTGTTACTGCCTTTTGTCAAATAGTCTTGACCGTGCTGTATAATAAATATTTTCTATTTATTAAATGTGTATGTTCCTCCTCTATAGTTTGTAAGGGCTTTAGTCATAGGAATAGACTGGTGTCAGAAAGAATTCCAGTGGTTTGGTTTCGCTCAGGACGTGTCTTCCGTCTGAAATGAGGATGGAGAACACACAAAATCTACAGACTGCGCAGGTGACGAAGAAGAGTCGAGTTTCATTAGGAGGAGGGGGTAACTCAAGCTCTAACAATTAAAAATGAAATCCAAAATTTCAAATTTTAGTGCTGTGGCAGACATGTCATGGTCTTTTGACAGAAAGTGTGAGGCTTGACAGCTCCTCGATCTTCGGCAGAGCTCTGAAGACAAACGCGTCTAAAGCCCCATCGCTGTTTCCTTTGTGCCCTACCAGGCTTTTTTCTCCCTGGCTCACATGCTAAGGAGGCGTGGTGTCTTCCTTTGTCGGTGGCCTCTTGCTCACCCCAAGTTCTAGTCCTCTACATTACAATGGACACTTCACTGGTCCCTGAAACAATGGAGCCTCCGGTGTTCACATCTTCAGCTATAAAATGCCTGCACAGCAAGACATTTACCAAGTGTCATTCAAAGAGAGAACATGGTGGTGCAAGGGCCAAATTCATGAGATCATGATGTGTAGACGGAGCGAACTCTAGATAGGAAAGAACTGCAGAATCGGGAACTGAACCACCAGGAGTTTCTTCATGGTTCCCAGAAAACAGAAAGAGAGATCATGAAATGGGAGCTTGGTGTCTCAGGAGGAAAAGCCTTATGAGAGAAAATGAGAAACAAAGAAGTTGAGAAAGAGAGAGAGAGAGAGAGAGAGAGAGAGAGAGAGAGAGAGAGAGAGAGAAAAAAGAGTTTCAGGTGTGTGGTCCAAAGATACACCCATATGTGTGGTAGGACCCTCCATGTGGGAGAGTCCAGAAGCTTCACTATAAGGACAACATTTAGAAAGGCTGGTGTTGGGGTCCAGACATCATGAATGATATATGAGTAACTGCCCCAGTAATTTCAACAGAGAACATCCTGAGAGGGATTCAAAGAGAAGGGAAGGTACCCGGCTCATGTGGCTCAGTGGATTGAGCATCCTCCCTTGGACTGAGAGGTCCAGTTTGATTCCCAGTTAGGGCACATGCCCAGGTTGCAGGCTCGATCCCCAGTAAGGGGTGTGCAGGAGGCAGCCGATAGATGTTTCTCTCTGACATCGATGTTTCTATCTCTTTCTCCCTTCCTCTTGCTCTAAAAAAAATCAATAAAAACATATTTAAAAAAGAGGGAGAGAAAAAAAGCAAGATTTCATTATCCCATTCTGTGCCAGACATTTTGCTAGACTCTTTGCATTGATCATTACTTAATGTTTCAGTACTACTGGCACAGGGGTATTTTAGAGAACTGAAGTAACTTGTCCAAATTATTTTTGCTAGTAAGTGGCCCAGCAGGGATTCGACCCCACCCTGAGCCATTACAAAGCCTGTGAACCACCTTCCTCTCCAGAGCCCAGCATAGAATTGGAGAGTTGATATCTGTTACAACTGGGCTTCCTTTTGTGTTCCCATTTTATTCCTGTCCCTGACAACATGATAGTTTTGCATGTCTCTTTCTCTCAATAGATTATAGGTCACTTTTTGCTTGAGATCCATTTTTTTTCTTTCTGATTTCTGAGCCTTCAGGACAAAGCAGATACTCAGTAAATGTTTGTTGAGGAAGGAAATGAGTGTTTTAACACCATACAGTGACCCAGATCAACGCTCTGAAGATTTATTTCAAGATATTTATGAGGTCCAGACCTCTACATTTCTACCTACTAATTCTAACTCTGCCAACTGGAAAACATGAAAAACAAGTGTTCCTTTCAGCATCAGAGGGAGCTGTCCCGTGGGTGCCTGCAGAAGGGGTCCACTGAGCCCAGCCAGAGGTTTAGGAGGGCAGTAGCAGGTGGGGAAACAGCATCCTCTGAATGCAGGTAAGATGATTGTTAAAGAGGAGCCCTGATTAAAATGAGAGAGAATAAGTCATCCTTGGGGAAAGCATGGGCTGGGAGTTCCTTCCATGCAGAAGTACATCTCTTTAGACATAGTAAAGGCAAAACCAGTCACCAAGGCTTGGGAGAACAAAAGAGCCCCGTTAGGAAGTTGAATTAATGACACCATTACACAAAAAAACTGGCTTAATTTCCCCAGGGTAGCTAGAGAAGCAATATTTGTAAATTAATAAGCAAGTGAAACGAAACTTAGGAAAGGATAGCAAAGGCTGAAAAGGAAAATAGTCATAGAATCATAGAGTGGGAAGTAAATTTAGAAGTCACTTGAAAAACATTCTCACCCCATTTGGGATTCTATTCCCATTGCTCTTGTGGCTCTTCTCATGTCGCCACTGAGTAGGGCAGGGCAGGGGCGGGCCAGGGGTTCCAATGCCTGTTGCTGGCAGGTATGCAATGAGAGAGCAGATCGCCCCGGACACTGGGAGACAAAGTCCAAAACGACATTGTCAGTAATTCACAAGGCTGGTGAGAGAACAGAAGTCAGGCCCAGATCCAAGAGGAAAGTATCGGAGGAGCCAGGAACACGGAGAGGTAGGACCCGAAAGGCAAGCAATGGGATGGTAATCTGGTGGAATTCCAGACAAAATGCTGGTGACCAAAATGAGCTTTGGGTGAGAGCCACAGAGGCTTATATGTGGGACCTGGTTTATTGAAAGGGATGAGATGGATTTAGGTGGATTTTTGCCCTCTGCTTAAGAATGCCCATAGACTAGGATCTTGATTTTGATAAGAAACTCTAATGGTTAGAAATTTCTTCAGTTTTCAGAGCCAAACTTTGC